CCCCCCCTGCCATTGTCACCTTGCTCTGTTGTACTTTAATTTTGGTACTTACGCTACTTATTTACTTGTTATCACTGTTTCTTCCATTGGAATATAAGTGCCATGATTGGGAGGAAACTCTCTGCCCATTTACTAGGGTGAGCACTCAATAAACATTTGTTAGATACATAAATGAATCCCCTTGAAATGTATGAAAAAAACCCCAAAGCATAACAACTTCTAAGACAGACTACACAGAAGTCATTACAAGCAGACAGGAGCTCCTAGCCTATGGACTGGGTAGCTCAGGGATGCAGGTATGTGAGGGCTGTGAGGAGTGTGTGTGTAATGGGGGTCTGAGAATGTGTGAGAAGTTCAGCGACACAGTGTGCACCACGCTGCAGAGACTGGCTAAGTGTAACACACGCTCTACTACTTTCAGATGAAGTTAGAAGCTGAACAGAATTCAAGGTCATTCCCATGTCCATGCTGAGTTCTCCCACCTCAGGAGCAGGATACCCCTCCTGGAGGACAGTGCCCAGACCTGGATGCCCACAGGATCCTCCCACTCAACACAGGAAACCCGCCTCTCAGAGTCCCCGTGTGACTCCACCCAGGAAAGGACCGACAGTCTCTTACCTGCCATCCAAACAACCAAGACAGAAATGCAGAGAACTAGTTTTTTCCCCTCTGGATTTGATTTTAGGAGAAATACAAACCATAAATAACCAACAATTATCTGGACCTCACTCAAAGAGAACTTCCCAGAGCCCTCAGCTCCTGTGGGCAGTCCGACACCTCCACCAAAGCCCTCCAGGCTGTGGCTCTCAGGCCCCACCCTAGGGGTGCGTGCATGCAGGTCAGTGATGTCTGCTGTCCTAAACTGAAACAAAAACAACTCTTACAGTCCTGTCCTTGAGCATCAGAAGGCTCCCAGGTGCCAAGTACATTGCACAGTATTCTAATCTTTGACAGTCTACTCCGCTCTGTAACAGGTCAGAGCAGGTCAGTCACTCCACCAGCGCTGGTCACTCCACCAGCCAATGCTCTTCACTCCCCTAGGACTTCCAACCAGCCACGTGATCTCTGACCTACTGACCACATCTGCCTAGGACCCTAAAATTAACTCCGTAAAAGGGGAGAAAAGACATCCATGAGAGTAAAACAAAAATGTAGTTTTGCTTCTTTTAAGAAATGGTTTTCTTACCTAATGACAAGCACTACAAAAGTCAATGCAGTCAAAAATTTTAACCTGAGATCTGGAAAAGAAAGAAATACTCCCATTAAACCACCCTGGAAGTTCATTCCATTTTCATCTCAGATGAAAACAAAACCCCCTAAACAAAACCCCTTCTTCCCTCTGGGTCTGAAACCTGCCTGTACCTGAAGCCCAGGAGAAATGCTTTCTTACCTCCCCAGGGTCCCAGAGGGTAAGGTCCCCAGCAAGGCCACAGCCATTATGATTTGTTGTGAGAGATTAGGGGAAAGGATCCTATGAGATTGGGTGACTTTTCCTGACTCAAGGACAAAGAAAACTGCCACAAGGTACAATGCTGGAAGGATCCAGGCAGCTCTAAAAGCCACTCTGGTCCCCAGGGTCTAGCTCGCTTCCAGCCCACAGACTTCCCTCCAGCACAGGCCCGAAGCTCTGTCCACAGGGCCCAGAGTTATCCATTCAGGCCTGTTGTAGCTCCCCAGGGACCGAAGGTGCTGATCCCCAGCCTGTGGGAATGAGACAGTCCCTGGGTATTCCCGTCCAGGTCAGGCCACTTGCCTGGAGGCCTCCAGCCACTCCTCCCTGACCCAGCTCGCACTGGGCATTTGTGAAGTGGCACTTACCTACATAAGGCATGTGTTGCAGCTCGGAACAGGCCCGCACTATCAGGAACAAAAGGTATAAAATATACACAGCAGCCACCACCATGAAGAAAACCTTCATTCCCTGGAATGAAACAAGGACCTTAAATAAGAACGGAGTCTCGGTGCGGCTTCACCTTCCAGACTACACAGCAGGAGGAAAGGCAAGTGTTATTTTTATTTTTTAAATTTTTTTATTATTATTATTATTTTTAAAATATCTTTATTGATTTCAGAGAGAGGAAAGGAGAGGGAGAAACAGAAACATCAATGATGAGAGAGTCACTGATCGAGCCCGCAACCCCGGCATGTGCCCTGACCGGGAATTGAACCCCAATCGCCTGGATCCTAGGTCAATGCTCAACCGCTGAGCCACACCCGGCCGGGTAAGGCAAGTGTTTTTAAAAGGGACCTACAGTCCTGAAGGTCGCTCCTCAAAATAGAACAGGAATGCACTCCTGTCACTCTGATTGTCCTTGCCCGGGCCTGGCCCCTCGCCCTCTGTGAGCACAGGTGGCCATCCCACCAGGACCCCCAACCCTTGCTAATCAGCTGAGGAAGAACCCAAACTCCTTCCCTTACACTCCAAAAGCCCCTAGCACACACAGGGCCTGGAATACAGTAGGTGCTCAGTAAACAGCAGTGGCTCCTACATGGCCCCCCCCCCCCATGAGG